GGGAGGCATGGGCTCAAATCACTGCATCTGGTCTCAGCAATCGTGACTCTAAAACCATCAGAGATTGTCACAAAAAGAACCCATCTGGTTCACTAATGTCCGTTGTTGAAGGAAATCTGCCATCCTTATCTGGTCTGGGACTACATGCGACTCCAGACCCACAGCCAATGTGGGTGACTCTTAACCACCCTCTGAAATGGACAAGCCACTCAGTTCAAGGGGCAATTAGGGGCGGACAGTAAATATTGGCCTTGCCAGTCACACCCGCATGAAGGATGCCAAAGAAAAGTCATGGGCACCTTGCCTTAATGACTACTGCCCAATGGCTCTGACCTCCATAATTATGAGGTGCTTTGAGAGGTTAGTCATGGCTCATATCAACTCCAGCCTCCCAGCCTGCCTTGATCCCTTGCAATTTGCATACTGTCACAACAGTTCCACAGCAGACGCCATCTCCCTGGCCCTACACTCATCCCTGGAGCAACTAGATAATAAGGATACCTACATCAGGCTCCGACTTATTGACTACAGCTCTGCCTTCAACACCATAACTGCAAACAAACTCATCTCTAAACTGCGCTCCCTAGGTGTCAGCTCCCCTGCTCTGTAAATGGATCCTTGACTTCCTGACCCGTAGGCAGCAATCAGTAAGGATAGGCGACAACACCTCCTCCACCATAATCCTCAACGGCTGCTTACTTCGCTTGCTACTATACTCCTTCTATACTCACGACTGTGTGGCCAAATTCCGCCCCAACTCCTATTACAAGTTTGCTGATGACACCACCGTTGTAGGTCAGATCTCAAACAATGGCGAGACAGAGTACAGGAAAGATATTGAGTGCTTAGTGGCATGGGGTAAGGACAACAATCTAACCATCAATAAAGGTTTATAAAATCACGAGAGGTATAGATAAGGCAAATGGCAGGAATCTTTTCCCGAGGGTGAGGGGTTTCAAGACTGAAGGCATATTTTTAAGGTGAGAGGAGACAGATTTAGAAAAAGACACAAGGGGCAATTTTTTTGACACAGAAAGTGGTTCATGTGTGGAATGAACTTCCACAGAAAGTGGTGGATGTGGGTACAATTACAACATTTAAAAGACATTTGGATAAGTACATGAATAGGAAATGTTTGGAGAGATATGGGCCCAGTGCAGGCAGGTGGGACTGGTTTAGTTTTAGGAAAACTGGCATTAAGTAATTAAAGTCAAGGAGGTCAATGCGTGATTGGTGCGGGTGGAATGGGTTTCAGTTCTTTGGGCACTCGCACCAGTAGGAGGGAGCTATTCCGCTTGGACAGGTTTCACTCGAATCATGCTGGGACTAGTGCCCTAGAGAATTGAATAACTAAAGGTATAGAGGGCTTTAAACTAATTAGAGGGGAGAAAGGTTTCAGAGCGTCTCTGTAGCCGCAAGGATATGGCAGTATGACAGGACAGATATTTGGATAACAATGCCTAAAGTGGGACAGGAAGGCACCGAGTATACAAACAGAGAAAAACAGAAGCAAATAGGGTCAAGAGGGGAATTAATACTTCACAGGAACAATTAATGGCTCTTTACATGTAGCATTAGGAACAAGATAGACAAATTGACAGCACAAATTCACTTTAATGGGTATGATCTTATAGTTACAAGGAGACCAAAGCTGGGAACTAAATATTTAGGAGTATGTGAGCTTTTGAAAGGACAGGCAGGAAGGAAAGGGTGGTGGGGTAGCATTGTTAGTACAGGATGGAATAAGGATGACTGCAATAAATAATCTTGACTTGGGAGATGCAGAATCCATATGGTGAGGTAAGAAATAACAAAGGGGAAGTAGACACTGGTAGGAGTTTTCTATAAGCTACCTAACAGTAGCTATATAGTTGGACAGAGAATAACTCAGGAGATAATTAAGGTTATATAACAAAGGCATTACATTAATCATGGGTGACTTTTATCTTCAAGTAGATTGGGACAATCAGATTGGCAGAGAAAACCATGAGGAAAAATTTATAGAGTGTATTCAAGACTGCTTCCCAGAACAACATAAAAACCAAAAGAACTGTAGATGCTGTAAATCAGAAACAAAAACAGAAGTTGCTGGAGAAACTCAGCCGGTCTGGCAGCATCTGTGAAGAGAAATCAGAGTTAACATTTCGGGTCTGGTGATCCTTCCTCAGTTCTGTTCTCCGGCAACTTCTGTTTTTGTCCCAGAACAATATATTGTGGATCAACCAGGGATCAGGCTATTTGGGATCTGGTGACGTGTGATCAGGCAGGTTTAATAAATGATCTCAGAGTAAATGACCCCCTAGGAAACAGTGATCATAGCATGGTAGAATTTAGCATTCAGGGTGAAAGTGTTTGGAAGGACATTGGAAGAGGAGAGTAGAAACGACAAGATCAGCTGACCAGAGAAAAGGGGCTTGTGACTCATAGACCTTCTCAAGCAGCTGTCTTCCTACGCAACAGGTACAGCAGAGAGTGAGGGATCCTGTTGGATAAGGCCAAAGATATGAGACTTTACAGTGGACTGGAGCAAGTTAACTGCAACCTAGATTTAAGACATTGTAAAAAGTACTTACCAAATAATTGGTTCCAATGTAAATATGTTACCGGGACCAAGTTCCAGCTGCAGACAGGAAGAATGAACAGAATAACATTCCAACTGCCGTGAAGACCAATCAGGGACACGGTTACGATTTAAACCATAAAACGCAGAAGGATTTGCAGAAACCAAAGGAATTTGACAATTGCTGGCTATATATGGTTAAACCATGTGGTATTAGACAAGTTTCACAAGCAATTCCGAATAAGGAATTTGGAATGTCAGCTTGGCAAGTCTGAACTATCTCAAAAGCAGCCAAGGTATCCCATGATTTTAGCAGTAACTCCAAGACTAACAACTGTGAAGAAATTCCCTGCGCCAGGAGGCATGGTGACAATGCAGAGAAGAGTTCCAGTCTGGCCAGTTGCTTACTCTCCTGGGTAATACTGTTTGGTAGCAGAACCCAGGGTAAGAAGGGGCAGTGTTTGAGAAATCTCCAGTAGTTAAAGGCGTGTACCATTTCCTACTTAATACAATAATTCAGTTTTATAGAGCTCGAAGCGTCCTCCACTGTGTCCTCGTCTGTGTATATAATTATTACACAGTTAAAAGTAGCGCCTTAGGTAGTGCTGTAGAACAGGGTTCAGGTACATAATGCTTTGAAGGTTGTGTCACATATAGACAGACTGGTTAAAAAGGCATTTGACATGCTTGCCTTCATTGCTCAGTCCTTTGAGTATAGGAGTTGGGACATCATGATGAGGTTGTACAGAGCATTGGTGAGGCCTCTTCTGGAGTAATGTGTCCAGTTCTGGTTGCCCTGTTATAGGAAGAATATTATTAAATTGGAGCAGGTTCAGAAAAGATTTACCAGTATGTTGCCAGGTATGGAAGGGTTTGAGTTATAAGGTGAGGCTGGATAGGCTGGGATGTTTTTCACTGGAGTGTAGATTTATAAAATCATGAGGGGTGTAGATAAGGTGACTAGCAGGTGCTTTTTTTTCCCGAGGGTTGGGGAGATCAAGACTAGGGGGCATAATTTTAAGGTGAGAGGAAAGAGATTTAAAACAGACATGAGGGTCAATTTTTTTACACAGACAATGGTTCATGTGTGGAATGAACTTCCAGAGGAAGTGGTGGATGTGGGTACGGTTACAATGTTTAAAAGACATTTAGATAAGTACATGAATAGGAAAAGTTTGGAGGGACATGGGCCAAATGCAGGTAGTTTGGGATTATGGTCGGCATGGACTGGTTGGACCGAAGGGTCTGTTTCCGTGCTGTGTGACTCTATGACTCTATGTACTGTTGTCTCACAGAGATTGGGAACAGTCCTGATGCAAAGGGGAACACAGAGTTTTCCAGCATGACGCAAAGGAGCGTTTAGGGAGCCAGAGACAGGGAGGTTTGAAGCTACAGCGAACGTGACTACAATAGGTAGTGACTTGTCAGATACTGGGGCTGAGGGGTTGGTGTGGGGGTGGCTGGTTCTGGGGAGTCAGAGGTTACAGGGAAGTTGGAATCTGGATTGAGCATTGAAGTCACTGCAGGGCATGTGGAACAGTGTTAGCCAGCAATGTCAATATATTCAGGAGAGATGCAGGGCTGAGGAAAAAAAACACACAGCTAGGCTTTTGTTGAAATTCGTTTATTTAGTTTTGAAAATCTACAGTTTATGATAATTAAGGATCATTTCAAAATACAACGGCAAACATTGACAGAATTATACCACGTGACAATGCACAGGCAGAAGCCTCCCTTCTCCCTCGATGCACCAACAATCACAGCCAAGGGTGGGGCTGGAAGGGAGTGCAGAAATTGGGCGAGACAAACAGGCTCCATTGACTGAGCGCAGGCCCAGCACCAATGGGCCTCCAGAACCAGTGAAGGGGCACCAATGGAATACTTTGTGGCACAGCCACAATATACTGGAGTAGCAAGGGCTCTTGTGGTACAGTGGTATTGTCTCTACTTCTGAGACAGGTTGCCTGGTTCTGTCTCTCTCTCTTTTGCCTTGTCCTGTCTATCTCCTGCCTCCATCTTACCTCCTCCTGTCTCTCTCTCTCTCGCCTCCTCCTGTCTCTCCCTTTTACCTCCTCCTGTCTCTCTCTCTCACCTCCTCTTGTCTCTCCCTCTTACCTGCTCCTGTCTCTCTCTCTCTCTCCCTCTCGCCTCCTCGTGTCTCTGTCTCTCGCCTCCTCCTGTCTCTCCCTCTTGCCTCCTCCTCTCCCCCTCTTGCGTTCTCCTATTTCTCTCTCTCTCTCTCTTGCTTCGTCCTGTCTTACATTGTCTCCCACCTCCAAAAACTGTTCTTTTTCTGGTAAAAAAACAGGTTGAGCATTTACATCAGACAGAGAA